GAATTTAGATAATTCTTAGAAGAAAAAGAATAGATGCTCACTACTTTCCTTTCATTGCTTCTTGTTTCCTACGTTTCTTACAGCAGTGCAACTGAGTGAGATACATTGATAGTATCATCAAATACATATTGGTTTAGTGACAGCAGTTCTGAAGGTTGAGATAATGGGTTAAGATATTCCATGTTAATGATTTGCATGTTATTCTCACATGTTGTACTTCTTTGGATTGTTAACTATTTTTTAAGTGACAATGTGAACTAATGGCAAATATACCAAGTGTGTTTCCTCAGCAATGCAAATGATAGCCCACTTCTCACTCTTCAGAGGTTCATATGCCATGGCCAAGTTACTTCCTTGGAATTGTGCTGCATCTCTTGTTGATGACAGCAACAAGGAAAACATTTTTTTCTGACCATAGAATCATAGAATGGTTCAGGTTGGAAGAGACCTTGAAGATCATAGAGTTCTAACCCCCCATCCATAGGCAGGGACACCTCCCACTAGACCAGGTTGCTCAAAGCTCCATCCAGCCTGGCCTTAAACACCTCCAGGGATGGAGCTTCCACAACTTCTCTGGGCAACCTGTTCCAGTTTCTCACCACCCTTGGAGTGAAAAAATTCTTCCTAATATCTAATCTAAACCTATGCTCTTCCAGTTTGAAGCCATTCCCCTTCGTCCTATCACTACATGCCCTTGTAAAAAGTCCTTCTCCAGCTCTCCTGTAGGCCCCCTTTAGGTACTGGAAGGCTGCTATAAGGTCTCCCTGGAGCCTTCTCTTCTCCAGGCTGAACAACCCCAATTCTCCCAGCCTGTCCTCATAGAAGAGGTGTTCCATCCCTCTGATCATCTTTGTGGCTCTCCTCTGGACCTGCACTATTCTCTGATAATGCACAGAAGTATTTTAAAGATCTGAGAAATGGAAATTATTCAGTACCACTTCAGAGATAAAGGTTATAGCTTCAGCCACTTATTATCACTGTTCTGCAGGAGGTGCATAAAAAATAGTGAAGGAGTATGTGCATGTGGTCTCAAAACCAGTTATGGTTCAAGAAAATTTGCATACTTTTAAGAAGTTTAGTTGAATCGCTGGAACTATACCATCTTTCCAAGAGAGAAAATACTCGTAGTCTTTACAGGAATTTTTCTGTGATTATTAAGAAAATAGATGTCGTTTGGGTGAAAGCAAAATATTTTTGGAAGCTTTGGGAGAAAACTCAGGTAAATTACATATTCTGAAGCTTTGTTTCATATATAATCAAACGGGGTTTAGGCTGATGTGATTGAAAAGGCCAATGAAAAGTGTAGTGGTTAAGAAAAACTGCTTGGCAGAATGCTTAATCTTCCACATAGATTTTCCTCGTCTTGTATTTTTCAGAATGAATTATAATCACCAAGATAACGGGAATGTCCAACTCATTAAAATGGCTAGAAATCTTGTTTTCCGTTGGTAACACCTCAGACACCTTCTTGAAAGACCTTACACTGCGGTAGTGATAGTAATGAACGTTCCTGGTTCTTTCTGCTAGTTTTGGTCACAGGTGGCCTTAATTACACATGCTTCAAACACTCAAGAATTACAGCAACAAATAATGATATGCAACTGGAAGCCAACAAGCAGCTTTTCTCTAGCAAAAGAAAGGTGAAGATGATGAATAGTAAAGAAACGAAATGAAGGCAGGGGACCCCAGAAAACAAATAATGATGAGGTCACTAGAAAGTGGATACAGCCATATTATCCCACAAACATAATATAGTGTGAGATAGAGGCTTAGTTGCTTTTGCAATGTATTAGTGCCAAGAGATACAAGCAACAATCCAAGAAACTTAACTGGTGATTAGGGGAAAATATCCATCAGCTTCTGATGAGGCTTTGAATCTCCTTCAGAGTGAGTGTATCTGAATTAAAGTTGGTTGGAATGACAGCAGACAAATACTGGTTTGGTCCTGTGTAACGTAGAACAGGTCTGGAGCACAAATTCTTACAAGTAGGTATTCCTGAATCACCATGAACTCTTACTACTCTTATTTCATGGCAGAGTGTAAAGACTCAAGGAAGTGTCTTGTCTAATAAGCAGTTGTTTATCTGCCAGGTCCCTATAAGATGAAAGGGACAAAATCCCAAGACCTTATTTTTTTGTTATTTAGTCCAGCTGACAATGTAGCAACCTCAGTCAGACACGTTCATCCCATCCTTCTTCTGACACACTCAGACTGAGAAACAGTGAGCCAGGAACAGTAACTAGCTGACTCCAAGATCTACCATGAAGTTTGCAGGGTAGAGTGGCAGGACGCAAAATCATGTCTTTAACCAGAGGGGCATTTTGAATTATTTCTGTACAGCAAATCTGCTGGCATCTCATACTCACAGCACTTGCTTTTTCTTAACACAGCCACCCTAGAAGGCCCCAATTTATAGTCAGTGAATCAATAGCAAACATCAGCATCATCTGATTGTGTTTTCATGACAAATTGTTGAGACCTGGATAAAAACAAACAAGACCTAAATTATAAAACAGAATTGAGCTCTGAGAGCTTCAGAGAGAAGAAATTGCCTAAGGTAAGAGTTCCTTTAGGAACTTTATCACTTGTAGGTTTACATGTAATTAATTGCATCTCCTTTTTTTATTTCAGCACAATTAATAACACAGATTGTCTCCTTTACATGTCCATAGTGTGACCTATGCTACAGATTCATCTGCTTTCTCAGTCTTTTCATCACATACTAATCCTTTCTGCCCATTTCCTCAAAGGCTAAATAACACTACAGCGTGTTAATTAAGAAGCTTGCTAAAGCAGAGAACTATTGCAAATTTATTTAAGCTAAACAGCAGCTTGGCCCTTCATGGTGTTTCACCATTTCTATTGCTATCTGAAAGGACGAAGAAAGTTGCCAGCAGCCCTTTCCTAGGGGATCCTATTGTTACAGGTGGGACATACCCGAAGCGGAAAGACTAGCATCTTCCCAAAGGGCCCTGTGGAAGAGCATCTAAGATAAACAGTACCTGTTCAGCTAATCTGTCTGGGTTTACATTTTCTCGAGCTTGAGAACAGATGGGACCAGGTAATATCTGGTCTACTGCAATACCAATCCTACTTGGCTAAGGCATACAGCCTTTAACACGCTCTTTGTCAGCTCATAGAATCATAGAATGGTTAGAATTGGAACCGACCTTAAAGATCATCTAGTTCCACCCACCCTGCCATGGGCAGGGACACTTTCCACTACACCAGGTTGCTCAAAGCCCCATCCAACCTGGCCTTGAACACTTCCAGGGATGGGGCATCCACAACTTCTCTGGGCAACCTGTTCCAGTGTCTTACCACCACCACAGTAAAGAATTTCTTCCTAATATCTAATCTAAATCTACCCTCCCTCAGTTTACAACCATTATCCCTTGTCCTATCGTTACACTCCCTGATAAAGCGTCCCTCCCCATCTTTCCTGTACACCCCTTTTAGGTACCGGA